AGTCCGGGTTGACAGGAAGCCACGTTCCATTTGTTCCGTTAGTAAAACCTGTGGTGATGGAAATGTTCTATTATTATCATTATTATTGTCGTATCGGTGAAAACGGCAAATATAATTTTATACCTGCGTTTTCAGAGTCATTCCAGGGAAACGGAGTTCTGGCTGGATCTCTAGTGAATTGCGTGTACCGCAATGGACCGACGTTACGTCCTGCCGGGTCCACAGTTTGGTTCCAGCGGACATACGTGTTTTGTACACCCAACTCGTCGGCATAGTACGTGATTGGGGTTCCAGGCAACAGGAGTTGTAACATGTGTAGGCCGTCCACCAACAACGGGTTCGTCCTAGTCGCTAATCGCGAATTGTCGTGATTGCCGAGCTAAACCACACAAATGAAAAAAAACACAGTTTTCAATTTTTACACTGCATAAGCAATTTTTTTTTAAATATATGTATAATATAGATATATTATTAACTTTACACGTGACACGACACAGCACAGGGTGATTCTTTTATCGCGAAAAAGTGATATTAATACATATGAAATATAAGTGTTTTTGAAAATATTATTTCAAATTATCACCTGGGCATCTATTTTAGGTAAATTGCAAATTTTTTTAAATAAATTTATATTTTTACTGTTTTATTATTGTCTATTTTTTTTTTTWTATATAATAACAACATACCTATTTTGATTAAATATTCCAAAGCAGAATATTTTTCTGAGTATATAAAAGAATTAAAAATCAATGATAAAACTAAATTGTTATTAGTAAACAATAATTTAAAAGTGTAACTGAACTAAAATTTCGATGATTGGTTAGCTCCAAAACATTGTTTGGTATAGAAAATTATCGATATTATATTCGTTTCATGATAAAATAATCGTCTTGTGTATAATGACACGCCAATGGTGATAGTCTATATAGTATCAGATACTGACCACCCAGTTGGGCCATTTGTCTTCAGGCATGTTCACCATCCAGGATTTAACCATATCGTATACATCGTAAGCGTTAGACTGCTGACTGAACGAAGTGATGAACATAAAGTTGAACGGAAAATGAGCTCCAGGAGATGTCGTGTTTCCGTAGTACATCATAGTTAGATTCATTGGCGAGTAACATTCCACCATAAAGAAGCTGTCATATACGAATTCATAATATTATAATGACAAATATGTGCACGAATATTATAATCATACGACGAGAATTGGTAAATATTATATACGTAAGTTACTATTATTACTATTATCATTTACTATTATTTGAAACGTTTGTGAATCTCGATGAATAGGGGTTAGGTTTTTTTCTTACTTTGTCATATTTTCAGCTGTCGCATATTCGTCCAACAGATTTCTCCAAACACGCACCATTTCAAAAGTTTCCGGTTGATCTACAGTGTTGGTGTGCAACAACGAATCGTAATCAGTGTCTAAAATGCCGATTTTGTTTGATTTTGATTCATCCTCCAAATCTTCCCTTTCGTAAAGGAAATTGACAGCGTCGAATCTGAATCCATCTACACCACGTCCCAGCCAAAAGAATATGATGTTCTAAAGACGTGTTTATATTAAATTTTTATTTACGTCCATAAAAATATTATGTAAAATCAATAGTAGTACTATATGACGTGTATAATATAATATGATCATATGTAAATTTTAAATAAGTGATGATCAATACTTTAATTTCTTCCACGACCATCGGACATCTGTAATTCAAGTCTGGTTGTTTTACTTGAAACGCATGGTAATAGTATTGTTGGCGTTGTTCGTTCCACTCCCASGCAGACCCAGTATTGAAAACGGCCACCTGAAATAGCCACAAAAGAACAATTCACAATATGTTCAACACGATTGATGATTTAATAAAAAATACCAACCATACTGTTAATAGTTCGTTAATATAAAACATTACAGATACCTTTAACGGAGAGACCTAATGAAGTAACTTTTGTTTAAATTAACATTATAACATTTTTTTAAATTTTTTTGTAATCTATAGAAATTGATTAAGTAAAATAAGTTAATTAATTTGAAAGGCTATCATATATTTTTGATACTCCTAAGATAAGTTTATTTCTTAAATTATTTACCATCTATAAAATTTTTATCCACTTTGTCATCCGTTTAACTTTATCTATAAAGTACCTATCTATTTTTTACAGGTTTTTTGTTAAGCAATTTATATCCATTATAATTTTTTGTCAAATAGATTTTCATTAATTACCCAGTTGTTCGGAGGTGTTCTGGTACCATTTTCACTGATGATTGGGTCTTTCCACACGTAATAATTTGTGTAAGGTTCAATTCGCTGTACAGATTTTGTGAACCACATATGTTCGTCACTCGTGTGGTTTGGCACAAAGTCCAACAATACTTTTATACCTTTTAATCAATTAAGGTAAAAATACGTCTTATACAAACATCAACCGAAGACTCCAGTCATAAACGTACCTTTTTTGTGGAATTCATCTCGCATCCGGTCAAAGTCTGCCATAGTACCGAATAATGGTTCGACCTGCTTATAGTTTGATACATCATACCCAAAATCATCTTGAGGAGATTGAAATATTGGAGATAACCAAATTGCTCCAACATTTATACTCTTAAAATAATCAACTTTTTCCGTAATACCTATTTGAAATTTTAAAATAGTAAGTAGGTAAGTATTATCTCAACTCTCAAGTATTATGGTCCCCAAGAAAAGTGAACTTTATTGTTTTATTAACATATTTTTAAGTATGTTGAATTGAAAACAACTGTTAATTCTAAATGATTTATTCAATACCCATAGATGTTTATTCTTTATATAATAATATTTTAGGTTTAAAACAATATTCTAAGAAAATTGCAAGATGATGGAAGCGAAMAAATATTTTTCGCTAAGTGTTTGCACAAGCAAGTTCCTGACTATTAAATGATAGCCTTGAACAATTACATCTGAAAAATGGATCTATCAAAACCTAAAAAATATTATCCGTTCTCCAATTTCAAAGATATGCGTTGCTAAATAAAAATCTATCTACAATTTTAAACATTTTAAACAGTTAAAAAATTGATTAAATTTTTTTATATTTCACATTTTGTAATTTATTGATATTGCAAGCCATTTTTAGTGAAACATCAACTAGCCTTCTAGCTGTCATAGTTTAAGAGAAAAGTTAAAAATTACAGCTTTTAGGGCTGAATACAACGATGTTTTTCTGGATTCTAATCATTATATCATTATACCACTTGAGATGATTCAAATCTACCTCATAAATATCTTATATTAAAGTTGAAATGAAATTTAAAAAAATAAA